TTACGCCTCTATTCAAGCCTTGAAATTGACGTAGCGCGAGAATTCTGGTCTTCTAGCGACAGACTCGCCGTTTTCAACCTCAACAACATCAGCGCTGAATAGACTAGAAGCTTGTACATATAAACAGAAATCGGCAAATTACTCGCCTATGGAGTAATTTTTAGTTGCAAGGTCCTAACTCTATCTGTATCTGTTTGTCCTACACTATAAGCAATCTTTAATTGATAAGTTTTTGATCATAATTGCCATAATGAATAGGAAGACGCTGTGCAAAATATCTTGAAAGAATTTCGCCTTAAGTAACAATAGAACGAACTACTTCGACAAAGATAAATTCAGGTCCTAATTTAATAGCATGAAACAGACAATGGGCTCTCCCAAATTGATAAATGATCCATTCTGTCTTCGCTTGGGAATCTTCACATATAAAAGACCATTGTTTACAGCTTACAGTTAAATTTATAAGATTTTAATAAATTTAACTGAAAATTTGTTTTTTATTTAATATAGTAAATCGCAATTAAGCTTTTTTAAAAATGTTTTAAATTTACTGCCTTTTACTTAAGATTTTACTTAAAATAGAAAACTCAGAATCAGCACATAAGATTAAGAAGTTAATTATTAATTATACCTTTAAGAAATAAACGACTCATCAATCAATTTCATTTATATAGATACTTTATAGTTGAAACATAAATCATAACTCCTAGTTATAGTTTTGAAATTTTTTTAAAACTTTTAGCGAAAAAAATTTTGAATATCTATTGCTTATAAACTTAACAAATTTATAAGAAGAACTATCTTGAATTTGTTTAATTCTTTCATTATATTAGAGACAATAAAATTAATTAATATATGTTCAAATAATAGACAATATATTTTTATATCATATGTTTTTGATTCAAAATTTCGCATAGAATGACACCATATAAATGCTATATAACATTTGCAACTTAGTCATTTTAACTACTCTACTCTTAAGGATAACTATACTTAAAATGTGAAAACTCATAAGAAAATAAATAAAAACCATTACATCGTAAAAATGCAAACATAGAGAAAATATATTTATGCGTAATCATATTTATGAGAAAGAAACTCCTGAAAACAGTAGCGTTGAAAATCGGATGCTCTGTGGTGGCAAATTTTCTACACCTTGCGTTCTAGTGAATGGATCTGTGCCGTTAATTAAATCAGCATATTGCTGAACGGAAGTATAAGTACCAGTGAATAGATTTGCAGTGTTCTGAGGTCTTATAGGCAGCATCCCAATATTTGTGGTTCTTTGAAGTTGGCCATTAGCATTTCGTGGTCCACCAATATTCTGCGGACTTTGTAGCTGGCCATTATTACTTTGTGATTGAACGTTAATAATTGGATTTGTAGATCGGTTCATGACTATATAATTTTTTGAAAAAAATTTTTAGAGAAAAGTGAAAAGTTTGAAGCTTTATACATTTTTTTGGTGCTTATATATTTAGGAACATAGTATAAGTTCACTGTGTCATGATATGTTAAAAGCAAACCAGTAAAAAAATTGTTAATTATTGTATCTCACGAAATTTATGAAATCAAGCTAAAATTCGGCCATTATGTCCGAGTACTGTATTTAGTATTTAGCCTCAAATTAATATTTTAAATAGCAAATTATATATCAATAAATCAATTAATTGACCATGTACGTAGGTAGAATGTGATCGAAAAATCGATAACTGACAAATACGTAGATAATTTTATGCCGGTGTTACTGTTACATCTATTACGAATTAAACGGTAAAGAGCGAAATGGATTATTTTTCAATTAGGGCGTGCTTATTGCTTTTTCCATGCGATTAGATTGGGACCAAAATTATTTCAGTAGCTGTTACTCGGGCGATGATTACCAAAAGTGGAATAATGATACTTTGTCCAAAGGCTTCTCATTCATTATGGATAATATAACCAGAGGCTTATCGAATTAAAAGTCTCCCACGGTATAGGACAAACAAATGTAGATAGGACAAAGACCTTGCAGAAAACCATTCCATGGGCTAGCAATTTGCCCATTTATGTTTATCTGTTTCAGAAGCTTCTAATCTATTTAAAAGCTGATTTATGCATCAAAGGCAATGATATGGAATTTTTTCATTTTCATTCTGAAGGTTCGAATACTATTAATTATGCACCAGCTGACTTGAAAAAAAAGTAAGGAAGAAATCAAGGATTTAATATTGCGCCTGAAATTTACGCCATTTCCACCACGAAATTTGACGTTGCGCAAAATAATTCGTAAGAAGAGTATCCAGCAAAGGATGGATATGAAAATAGCTGCCAGCTTAACATAATTGCCAGGGCAATCTTGATCCACAAAGACTCGTACATTTATGGAAAGAAATTGGCTACCGTAAATGATCGGATACAAGACCCGGGTCTGTTACAGTTCACCAATTTTAAACCCTTTAATAGACTCGGGTATATTACTGTATTACACAGCTGAGAGTTTATGTCATAAGTGCAAAAATATAATTTATAGCAACTGTGTACAAAATTTTAGATAGCATGTTTATATGTTTATGCGAATAAATTATTTGAACCAAAATCATGTTTATTTTAATGGGGAGCCTTCCATAAACATGTAACGTTTTTCACCACAGTAATTTGTGACACCCGTATCATCCTCTTTGAGTTCATTCTCTTTGATGGATAATAAAAGAGGAACAAAGTTATACCACTAACGTTTGAGCGAGCATTTTTGCAATATATCTTCGTGTTTGGATCTGCATCACCTGATCAATTTGCAGATCATTTGACCATATTGGTTTGTTCTAGATCTGGCCAAATGATCTGCAAATTTGACCAGAAAATTTGAATGACGAGTTTCTCTATTTGTTCGATGATATAGATCTACTGATATGGTCTCATGGCAAGTTAAGTATTAATTATCATTTTTATTAGCTAAAACATTAAAAATCTGGCATCGGCTACAGTTTTAGCCGGTTGGCTAAATATCGACCACGACTAATAGTCAACTATAGTTGATTATAGTCGTAACCGAACCCATCCCTAATGGGGATCTTGTATCCGGCCATTTATGGTGTTTTGAAATCTGTACAGTGTTTCGGCCGGCCGAAACTTCCGAAACCTCCGAAATATAGTTTCGCCAGAAGTCCCAAATCCGAAACTTCCGAAACCTTGCGAAACCTCCGAAACTGGCGAAACCTCCGAAATGGGCGAAACTTCAATACTCACGAAACAAATAGCCAATAAAATACGAAAATTTTTGATCATGTGAAAAACAAATGCATAAATAAGCATAAAAGTTACACCCGACACTAGCCGAAACTTTCGAAAGTGGGCGAAACTGCCGAAACCTCCGAAATTGGGCGAAACTGGCCGAAACCTCCGAAATTGGGCGAAACGCTGAAACCTCCAAAATTGGGTGAAACATCCGAGTAGAAAATCAATGAACGTAAAATACGAGCTAGATGGAGAACGAAATAGAGAAAAGGTCGAGGGTTTCGGATTCTGGGCGAAACTGAAACTCCAAGGCCGAAACGGTTCGGACTTTGGTGGGGGTTTAGGCCGAAACACTGAATCTGTAATGCAAGGAACACTTTTAATTCTTTTCCGCCAGCACAACTTCCTGGATGGACCAAACCTGACGTTAAGCTGTTAAGGCGCGACTTACTGAATTGATTGATCTAGGATTTCAATTAAATTATAGCATCACTAATTCTAATAATAGACATGTTTAAATATTTGTTTAAGGTAATTTTTATGTAATAAATGAGTAATAAACTAATAATTTAAATAGATTTATAATAATAATGATGGTAATAATAATTAGTCTAGTAATCAGTCTATCTAGTCACATGCTGATTGATCCTAATTAGCCCTGGACTGTAGTCCGGTTTAACTTTTTAAAAACTAGTCTTTGAATCAAAATGGGTCGGGTATCTTTGTCATGTCGTAATATTTTAGCTGGCAAGAAAGCATCAAACTTCCGAACTACATATGTGATAATTTTGTAACACAAAATTTTCAATATTTTATTCCTTCACTTCAGCCAGTTCATCTTGATGGAATTACCAAAGAAGTTTGCGGAATGAATATTATGATGTTATAAAATAAAAGTCTTAAATTGACATACAAATGCTAAACATATATTTAATAAAATTCATTAAAATTGATATTTAGACTTTAGTAGCTTTATGTAAATAATATACAGTACATTAGCGA